ACTGTAGACATGGTTACACCTGACTGTGGTTATACCTATATGTTTTTCCAGTCTGCTTCATATGTAGGAGCTGTTTTCATGCACTTGTGCCCAGACCAATTTTGCCATAAAACTAAGACCATGCCAGAAACACTGACAACTTACTAAACCAGAATTTCTATACCAGTAGTGCTGCATAGGTGTTCTCATACCTAGTTTCATATTCATCTGACCAAACAGCTAAAAAATTCATGGGTTTTGATGGACATTAAAAATTCATCTAATTGCTTCCACATGACCTAACAGCAAATACTCATTTTATCACAAAACATTCCTATATGAGAAGAAATTGTAGGGGTCCTTCCCTATGTCTTTGTGACAAATTCAGGGGTTTTCCCTGAAAATTTGTTCTTCTTATAAAAAGAGGGGAGAAAAGAACAAAGCTCAGTACTGAGTTATCATCTTTAGGCTGGTTTCTGCTATTTAAATCACTTATATCCCTGGTGTTCTGTGTCAGTCAGGAGAGTCATATAAGGTATCCCTTATTTTATCCCTTAAAGATGCATGTGTATATAAGTGACTTTGAATTTGAAGTTCAATTCCAATTATGTTTTTCCAGATTATTTTTGCCAAAATGCAAGAGTAAAAAGGAATTACATGGGTTTTACAGGGAAAAACAAAATGTTATTTTCCAAGTTCATGCAAATATATCTCCCCTTTTTTTTCTCTCATTTGCCTTTTGTTCCACGTCACTTCACATAAAGGAAATTTTCTAGACAGGAAGTACCAGAAGTTCGTCTATTTTTCCTCAGTTTTCCTGTAGAACTTTTTCGTATCTCTGCTCTCACAGACAGAGATATTAATCTCTGGAAATTAAACCCTTTTCCATCTCATATCATAAGAGGTGTAAATGTATGTATCACAACTTTGTTTTCTCATATCTAAAACTATCACAGTAGAAACTATTTGTAATCCTTAGATTTAGATAATGTAAAACAACGTGTTTCATTATTTTGCAGATCTCAATGGTTAACATGCAATTGTGAGAAAAATAATGTTGAGAAAGTATCCACAATGTGTTTACAAACACTCTAAAGCAGTCCCAGTTTGTACACACTTTGTTCTGTTAAAGTCAGTGTTACAGTCCCCATGGGCCATGACAACATTTTCTTTCATAATTCCTTAAGGTTTTTTGTTCTCCTACTCCAAAAGAAGCTAAGCCAGCAGTAACTAGAGACACAATACAGTAATTTTAAATCAAATATGATATAGTATTTGTGTTTATTTTGCAAACAATGAAAATATTTTTATTGTGTTTTCACTTTTGTTTTTTAAACAGAATTCCAGCAAGAGAGTAGTTATTTCATTTTTGGATTCTGTGCCTTTATATCAGGGAAAAAAGCTACTTGCTGTTTCTGTCCTGTAATTCAGCACCTACTGAGAAGCAGACTGACCTTGGAGATGTTAATATGCTCCTTCTGCTTAAAAGTTTTGTGCATCTAAGAATTTGAGGAGAAGTTATAAATATAGAATATATTGTATGTAACAATTGCTTTCTGAGCACAAGACAAGGAAAGTTTGGGGAGAGTTCCATTGAGAATACTCCTTTTGGGAAAGGATTGGTCAAAAGCCTCCTGTGGGTTTAGCCTTATCTGGAACAGCAGATGTGCTGTGATAATCTTAGTAAGATTTCTACACCTGAAAAGGTTTCTGAACCCTTGTTTTTTCATCTGTTTCCCTTGGTGGCTTTTAAAAGAACTGGCAGCTGATTTTGCAGCAAAGAGTATTTTCAAAGTTGACAACACTGTTTATTGTCTCTGTGCAAAGAAAGTGAAATCAATTTCTCATGAGTATTTGAGCCCTGGGGGTCAATGGACTGAACTTGATTATGGAAATTACAAGTTACTTACACTTGTTGTAATTTAAGAAAAGCATTTCTTTTATTTCATTATTTTTTGCATTTGGCATTCTGATCACTGCCCTGATGTCCACACAGTGCTCCACCCTAGACTATTAGAAATCTAGGCAGGCAGTTGTCACCTGTGTTATTTGGAAGAGACAGTGTTCTAGTTTGCAAAGCCGGGTGCTAAAAGCTGAGAAAATATCAGATCAAAAGGGATTAAACTGATGACCTTTACAGAGTGCTTAGGACCTTTGCTGAAGTCCAGCATTTTTTAATATGCAGAACATGATGTTCTGCCTTCAATCATAAAATAGTAACAATAGGAATTGCTCATTTAGTGCAAATCGGCCTGAAAATGGGTACAATGACAAAGCAGTTTGTGATGCACTGATATATGACATTGAAGTGAAGACTATGAAGCTGTCAAAAAGACAATTATGAGACAAACAAGATATGAATCCTCTGCTCCTTTTGGGGGGCAGTTACTTTTCAGTAGGGTGACTCACACAACTAACTGCTCATGACTGGGAATTAATAGCCCAACCCAGAGGATGTACAATCAAGCAGGCCTTTCCTGATGGCCTTTCAGTTGCTTAATTTCCGTTTGTATGGTGATTTGAAATATATGTACAAGTACTAAAGATTGTTACACTGCATGAACAGAAACTAAGACTTCTATAGATTCATCTATTCTCGGACAAAGTGACTATTAATGGCTACATCAAATAAAAGGCTCTGCTATCTGAAAGTAAGAGGAACCTTTTTTCAGGTCACCTTTCTTTCCTGTCTCCTTCGTGAATCTTACATCCTTTGCTATATAGTGCTACAAATACTAGCAAGTGTTTCAAGGACCCTTTGGGTGAGAATTTTGAAAATTTGAAAATAGATCCTCCAGATTCTAGGCAATATCTTCATTCTTTCACTTCAGTGTAAAAGAATGGCCTGGCAATTTTTACTGTATGTACTGTGTTGAAAAAAAATTTTTAAATAAGATAAAATCAAATAGGGCTGACACTACTTTTCTTTTTCAAAAGCTCCTATATACCTTTGTGTGAACTAAGCTTTAAGAAAGCTAAGTAAATCCCTTTCTAGGATTTAGGCAGGGAGAAGCCTGGTTCTTGGGACTTGTTTATGCCTAAGCTCAAACTTGATGTTCAGAGTCAGCACAATTAAAGATGAAGTTCCTGTGTGGACAGGTACTCATGAAGTTTGCAGTAAAAAGAAAGATAGCTTCAGAATTAGGCCATACCTGAATGGGGATCATGCTTGCAACTTTTTATTAGATTCATTAATGCTTCCCACATCATACTTTAGCCTCTCAAGTTACTGGAATCTTTATCTTCTGACTCTGTTACTCAGGTCCTTACTCCATAAGCTGTCACTGACTTTATGGAAAAGAACAGAGCAACACTGAGGTTTTTCCTCTTCCGAATCAAGATTGAGGAAACAGGGACAAAAGCAAATGTACATGAATCCCTTCACTACCCCCACAGAATAGCAACTATTACCTGGAGTAATAGTTAGAACTATGTCTTGGCTAAAATAAGGCATCTTCATTTTCCTTTTCTCCCTATTATTGCAATGGTGCCATGCAACCCACTGGATGATGAGACATGCGGACTTCCTTGGTCTGGTGAGAAAAGTGCTGCCATATGTGGATGCATGAGCTGTTACACTGAGATTAACTGTTCCTATTTTCTTTTATTGCTCTTCATGCAAGGCATTTAACACTACCTGGATCAATATACCTTTCTTCTATTAGTTTCCATTATATTTCTATTATATTCTCTTTATTAACATTAGCATGGAGTGCTCTACTCCAATCTGATGAATGGTAAAAAACCATGTACAGTTATTGCTACTGCTGGTTTTATAGTTGTTGTTACTATTAATAACAATAACACGTAACTTGAAGTGGTACCCTTAACTCAATATCTGTCTTCAGAGAACAAATAAAAGGGAGTCCCTGACCTCAAAGAACACAGAACTCTAAGACTACCAAACAAACAGTTCAGGGGGATGGCACAGCAAAAAGGATGACTGAAGAAATCAACAGTTTTCCTTATAGTCAGCTTGGCAAACAAGCATAGTGAGAGGAAATTTAAAAGTGGAATTGAAAGAAAATTTCTCATAAGCAAGACCAGAGATAGGTGCTGTATGGAATAAGGCATAGAGGTGATTAGAAGGATTTTCGGAACAGCAGAAAGCAGTGGGAATATTAGGAGAATGATGTAAGTTTGTGAAGTCAAATTACCAGTGTTCTTCTGGTGTTTCTTAAACCTAGGACTTCTGAATGGCCCTTTTGCCTGCAGAAGTGGGCAGTACAGTAATTCTTCTTTTATGCAAGAGTATGCTGAAGAACAAGCAGTTCTACAGGTGTTGATTGATATATTGAGAGACTGTTTCCACAAAGGTTAAAGTGTTGTTAAAAGACTTTCAGTCACTTATTTGGAAGCACTGCTGACAAGTTGTTTGTGTGACAGAGACAGCTCTCTTTTCTCCTGATGGTAAGAAGTTTAGTAAATGGATGGTCTTCTGTAATACTTCTTTAATACTTCAGTATGATGAGTGTTCCATTCAAACCAAGATTAGAATATTGCAGGATCATTTAGCATCCATCTGTTGCACTTTCCACTGTCTGATTCAGTTGTACAAGGTGGTTCCAAACTCCCATACAAGCTAATGAATAAGGCTTTCAGAATGTGTTTAATAGTTAGATCTCAAAAGGGTTAGTAACATGTCTCAACTTGAACATTTAAAAAAAATACAAGGTTCAAAATGTATTCAATTAGTACGTTTTGTCTGTGAATGAATTGCAATAATTTTATGAGAAAATCAAGGCAAAATTCATTATGAAGTTAATTAGGAACTTCAAAACATCTAAGTTATATTCAAAAGAAGGATGTTAATTTTATTGTCAGAATTAGTAAAACATTTGAAAATGTCTTTCCATTAAGATTATGAGTTGTAGGAAAAAGACATCTAATATCTTTTCCCAACCTGGGCTGCAGAAAACAAAGTACATGAAACACATAAAAAGCAAATGCTTATTTGTCATCTGGGGAATGGAACGGATAAGACATACATTACTGTGCTATTAAGTGTTCTTTTTGTGCAGCTTCGACAGATGACAGTGCGGCAGAGAAGAAAGGTGGAACACTTCATGCTGGCTTAATTGTTGGCATTCTAGTCCTGGTCCTTATTGTGGCTGCAGCCATCCTCGTGACGGTCTATATGTATCATCATCCGACGTCAGCAGCCAGTCTCTTCTTCATAGAGGTAAGACAAAAGTAACAAGTTGTGTCACCAGTCCTGTCTCTTGGTTCAAATATTTGGGGTCTCCAGAATTGATCTTTCTTAACTAAATTGGAAAGTATTCTTGTGTTCATAGTGTAATCTTTGAAGAAATGGACCTCCCCTAGCAAGTGATACTGTTTTGCTCCTAGCACGTTTGTCACTCAGCTCCTTCTTTAACTACCATCACTATAACTTTTTTGCTTTTAGACAGCACATATATCTAAAAGATATATCTCAGATACCACTCCAACTCTCTTTGCTATCCTTCGTTTTCCTCATGATAGCATTTTTCCATCACCTTTCATGTGCACTGGCATTTTGTTTCAGGATATATATTTTTTCTGTTATTTTCCTGGGGAGGGGGGAAAGAAAAGTGTGCATTACTAATTCTGCAGAAGAGCTGACCACTAAGTTTTTAGCTGAAAACCTGTGTTAGCTGTTCCTTACATCATTTGAAGAAATATTTTAACGCTTTGTCTCCAAGTGTGAGAAAGATTTTTTTCATCTAATTTTTTTACATCTATCATCTTCTTTTGTTCTTTTTATTAGTGTAGAGAGAAACAGACTCTTTTACACCATAAGTCATCTGACCTATTTGAGACATCTCCTTTAGGATTAGATAAATTACCATTTTACTCCCTCAAATACAGATAACTACCTTAGGTGCAGACATCTACCCTGCAGATGCTGACATTTAGTCAGTTCACTTCCACTATTCTTGAAAATATGAGAAAGGAACATTCTCCATAGGTGTTTGAGTCTTCAGAAACCCATGAATACTTACACCTACTTGTGGATTTTTTTTCCCTACTAGGCAGTGTTCCTCTGCCTTGTGATAAGTGTAGAGTTACTAAATGTGAAAGAAAAGGCTGACTGTTCGTAACCCCTATTTGTAGTATTCCCCTACTATTAAGAGCCTGGACACTTACTGCTAGACAACAGTGAAGATGCAAAACCACTGTGTCACTAGGGACGTACCTAGGAATTTCTTAGGTAAAAGCCTGGACCAGGAATATAGGAAGTAGAAGTTCATTCTTAGTGACAGCAATGAGAATTGAAGTGAGACATGCACATGAACAGAATGATTCATCTTTAAATCATATTATAATAAATATACTTCTTAGATGCAATAGTAGTGACAAAAATCAAAATGAATTGTTATCAGTATTCCAGCCTCAAGTGATGTAACTGTGTTAACCATTAGGAAACAGAATCCATGCAATAAAATATAGTTTTCTTTCATGTTTATGCAACATTTCAAACCAGTTCTCTATTGATAGATATATACAAACAAAATTCCACTAAAGTCCATATATAAAAGAGGAGGTTTTGTCCCTTTTTTTCCTTTGCACACATGTTGAATTTCTATTCTTTCCTTCTAGTTAAAGCAAGTTTCTTATCTGTCATGGTGTGATTGAAAAGACTAAGTAAATGGCAGCACCATTTTTTAAAGAGGGAAGAATACTAAATTACAATACACATTTATTTATTTATTTTTGTTCTCAGTATGTAGTAAGGGCATGTTAATTTATTTCTTTTATTGATATCATACTCATCATGCAAACAGTGGTGCCTTAAACAATTTTGTTAAACCTCTTCCACTGAATTTAATCTTTAGGTGCCATTAATCAACCTATGCAGTCAATGCTAAAATGTCTTCTAGCAAGCAATGTAGGCTTTTAGAAAAAAATGGAAAAACATGTGCTTTGTGTTTAAAATAAAGGAGAAATCAATTGGATCTACATGTTTCCAACACAAAGAAGAACATATCTTCTCAAACTTGCATTTTGAAACTACAGTACAAAAAATAATGAGGCAAAACTGGTATAAACAGTGTTACAAAAAGTCATTTTTATTGCATTTTTGTAACTGAAAAATATTTTATTAAGCTGTTACATATAACATAATAGCAGCAGACAAGCTGCATTATTTATGGGAAATGAATGAAATGTGGATCTGATTTTACCATTCTTGGGAAAGAACTCAAGAGAATTGCCATGGGCTTGGTCATGAAATGAGAAGCATATAAATATTTCAGAAAATTATACTGGTTTGAATGAGTCTCTTGATTAATAAAGCAAGTTGCACAGTTAAAACAAGATGTGACAGATGGACAGGCAGCTCCCTCCTGCAGTTGTCTAAAAAATTATGAGTACACTGCAGTCTGCCATGAAGTCTTCTAGCCAAATGAAGATCTGCATCAGTTTATGTATCATCAGTAATTAATATAACTCTAAGGCTGGTCAAAAGAAAGAACAGGAACCTGGTCCATTTCTGTTTTGTTTTAAACTTTACAGGGGCATCATATAACATTAAACATAACATTCATTCAAAACTGTAATATGACTAACAGAGAAACTTCTTTTTACATCTAAGTTCTAAAACACTGTCATGATTTTGTAAAGTGTCATTTTCAATGAGATTTTGTTGGGGTTTTTAAGTTAAGGGCTATGTAAGTGATTTTTACTTGATTTGTTTTATAGTCATGACTGATTACTGAATAAAGAAAACTGTAATAAACTGACCCCATATCTGAGGCTTCAAGTCTCTTTCTTCCTTGTATTCTCTGCAGATATTATTCAACATTCAATTACTGCCTCACTGAGGTTCTCACATAGCTCCTCTCAAATCCCACTCATGTTTGTCATGTAGTGAGCTTCCCCCACATAAGGATAAATACACCCACATTTTGACTGCACTCTTTACCCTTGCACTGATAAAAGCAATCCCTTCTGAACAACATTAAATGATATTCTGAGTGCACTAGTTTAAACAAGCCACACAAAGCCAAGAAAAATACAATTTATTACAAAAGCAACTATTGTCTTAGAACAGAGTAACATTATTCTATTACTTTTTTACTCTTAAAGTCTGAAGAAAATGTTTCCTCTTGTGTTTTTGTTCATAGCTGTTGAGCAGAATGCATATGTGCAGCCCCACTTGGAATAAAAAAAATAAAAAATATTTTGAGCAAACAACTTGAAAAGTCTTGAATGCCTATGCTATTCAATTTGACTATGATAGTATGCAATTTTAAAAGAATGCCATCCAAACAGTTCAACACATTTTCACAAAAATTCCACTTTTTTTTGTGTGTAGAAAATTCAAATCAAAATGCAGTGCTTTCCTGTTTCTTCCAGACTCCAGACTGCTCATGTTGTTTAAGTTGGACACTTCTCTGGTGACCTAAGGGTAGAATGAATTATCTGCTTTTAAAGTTAAGGGAGCTTCAATCAAAGTTCCAATGAATGCAAGCTCTTTCTAAAAGCTAAGAGTAAATGTTTTCTAGAGATTAGCTTACAGACTGACAGAAGAGATGTTGCATGCTTTGGTTTTCTATTTATTTATAATTATCCCTGCAGTATTTTATCTCCCTTGAGTTTGATTTGGTTGCCAATAATTTCCCCTTTTAAATCACATTACATACATACTCTTACCTTGAGGAATGCTGTCTCTTGTGTATACTTTGAACTGATTTGCACTGATTCTTGAAAGGCAGCATTCATGTCAAATAGTGTTCTTCATGACTTTTTCAACAAAGCAGAAGCTTATGTCACAAATCTAGCGACAACATATATAGCTTCAAGCTAACTATAGCACAATTAAAAAGCAATTCCTTTATTCACTAACCTATGTGGTATAGTTGCATTCAGGATGTGAGAGTTGTTGGACAAGAAGCCAATCATGATGCCCTGAATATCAGGGATTTCATAAATGTGATACAGATTATAGCAAAACTGATGTAAATATCTGGAGCTGGATATAAAGAGATGGGAAGAAATTCTCAGCTGAGCCAGATGGATTTGCTCATATTTCAATGAGCTATGGACCAGATACCAGCTTTGGTAGTATTTTATATTTTATTTCTTCATTTCTTTTCCCTCATGTTCTTTTTTTCTTACATTTTTAACCTTTAAGGATCTACTTTTATGTGTGAACTATGGATCTATTGAATTAATTGAGAGCAATTAATTTCCAGGGAATATTTAGCAAATTGAAAAGCAAGGCATATGGCCAACTGCATTTTACTCAGATGTCTTGCCTGTTTGCACTGAGTTATCTGTGGATAAAAGGGTTGCACGTGATACAAGAAATTTTCACTCCCATACTTTGTATTTTTCTTACCTTCCTTACTTATATAGTGAAACAAAGTCCTTTTAAGGCTTGAAACTTACCCCAGATGTCATCCCAGTGCTCTGCCTTTGGGGATCAAGGGCAACATGATCTGGCCACAGCTGAGAAGACAGCAGAGGGATTGCTGGACAATATGAAGGCAAGGAGTCAGACACTGCAGTGTTTCTTCCCATATGGACATTACCAAGCATGCCTGAAAGGCTTGACAACAGCAGGATAAAATTTTTCTGTGATGATTCTCTGTGGGTAGGGGATTTTAAGGAGCCTAAACTAACACTGCAAATTGGGATCATCTTAACCTCAGGCAAAGAGCCTTTCTCTTGTATTCAGCTTATACATACAAAACCAAATCCAACTTATTAACATATGTGGACTCTGAAGTTGTGAGAATATGAATGAACTCAGCTGTGTATGTATTAATAGTAGGTAATATGTCACACACTGAAGAGCAGTGTGGGTGCTTGTGGTTAAAAATTAACATTCTTCAGAGTTGAGATCCCATTTTAAAGGTCATAGCTTTTGCCTTCATGTTCCCACCCTCCTTGGAATTATTCCAGAGCTTTATTTTGCTGATTCAGCTGCTTAGAAACATACATGTACACTTATAAACACATACATCACACATATACACATACCGATGTCTTTTTTATTGTTTATTTCACTTCATCTTGGATGTTGAATAATTTCACAAATCTATTTAAATGGCCACATAGAGAGTTGAACTGGTGCTATGGAGCCATGGAGTGACCTTGAGGAAAAAGAGGGAGGAAGGAATGAACAGCTGCAGATCTTTTGCAAATAAAATAGTGTGTGATCAGAGCCTGGAGGATGCACCTCGACTCCTTCTGATTTAACTTAAATTATGTCTTTGCTAGTAAATTAAATTAAGATGGGAAGATTTTTTTAGCTTAAAGACCAACCAGCATGGAGAGATCTGTATTCCTGTCATTTAACTCTGTCTTACATAAAGTTGACGGCATGGAGAGTATTAGCATGGACTGAAGATGGTTCACAAATACTGAGCCCTAGCTGGAGTGGTCTGAGAAAGCACTAATTATTAGGTATTTTTTTAACTATTGGGCCGTATAGGGGATTGTATTTCAGTATCTGGAAACTTTCACTGGCACGCAGATCTAGCAGTAGAGTTTCTTAAGATTTTGACCTTCTGCTCATCCCCTGTCTGCTGTGAGGAAGGAAGTAATATGAGAAAATAGTTTAAAAAGCTGGAGGCAGTTCTTGGTTTTTCAGAGCTCAGGGAATTAATGGACATTTCTGGCTCACTATTATACATCTCTGCTTATAACAACATATCACAAATAAGAGTCAGATTTAACATTCAACAATGTTCTCCATGCAGCATTTCCAGGTTTCTACATTAATGTAACAAATGCAATGTATGTCTTCAAACAACTGAGGAATAAATAGGAAACAGAGTAAAAAATAAAGAAGGATTTTTTAAAAAACAATGAGATCCTCAGCTTTCTAATCCAGCTGATAGACTTCACAGAGCTCTACTGCTTTCTTCTGGGATACAACCCATTGGTTTTACTATATGTGTCCATTTTACAGGGGATTATACTATTTGAAATAGGCTTGCCGTGGTCATCAATTAGTTTTTGTCAAGACGTTCAGGTTGGATTGTGTTTAATGAAAATGATGATTAAAAAGAAGAGAACAGGTATCATTTTTCTCTTCTTTCAAAGTTCTGCAGTGTCCTGGCGTTTGGAGTATTGTCATTGATCTCGCTGTCATTGCCTTGTACTGATAGTAAAGTTATTTTTTCCAAAGCTTATCCAGCTCAGCAGGAACCAGCAGCTCAGCAAGGGAAACACAAATCAGCCACAAGGGAGAAGCACTAAAATAAATAATCAACACTGACAATAAAAGTCAAAGGTGGAGAGGAAGGAGGCATTCTATTTCTCATCCTTCAGCAGCCAGGTCCTTAGATATACGTATGACTGCAGAAACTGTTATAGCAAGATGTGGTTTAAATCACAAAATGATACTTTAAAAAAGTACTTCTATCAAAAAGAAAAATAAATGAAGCCAGTAAATGATCCTACTGAATCTTAAGTCTGAAGCAATCTTTGTGTCAGAACAGTTTCTTCAAAATAATGGTGTCAGGCAATTGGTCTTTTCTTATTCTGGGAAATACATTTTAGAAATATAGTTTCAGATATTTTAAGCCTCATCCACTTCTGATTATGATTTGCCAAATCAATTGGATGTTTCTAGAAGAGATTAAAGACTGGTGCACAAATTTCAGATAACTTCAAGAGCAAAAATACATGTTACGGGAAAGGTAATTGGTGACAAAAATATCTTTACTTCTCATGAGAAAGCAGAAGACATGACTGCAGAGGTAGATTACCAGTGGACAAGTGTACTTAGAATAATGGGTGTTGAATAATATGAGATTAAAATTTAGCCATTTAGTAAGAATTCACTATAGTTTTGTATCTTTTTCTTAATCCTTTTGAGTAAGTCATAGCAATTTTTCTGGGGTTTTGAGAATTGGTTTGGAATTTGGATAGCTTCATATTTGCATATTTCCAGGTTTTTTTAATACGTCTAAATGAGATCATATGATTTTCAAGGATAAAATAGGCCTTATAAGGTTCAAAATTCCCTGATCTTGAAAGATGTCAAAAGAAGAAACTAGTCAACAATAACACACTTCTAGACCTTCCCATGCAACAACACTCAAAGGTTACTCCAGTCGCTACCCTTTCTTATTCATAGGTGGAATCCCCTTCATTTTTTCCTCAGAAGTAAGACAAATAGTATAAATTCTGCCTCTACTTCAAGATGCATGTAAATACATGTATTTTAACCTTTGTAGGAAATCAAATATTCTGCATAGCCACCAAAAAAGGTGTAGACAGGCATAGTGTAAGAAATGTGAAAGGTAGACCTGCCTTTCCATAGATAAAGTTTCTTTCATTTTATCTTACTGTTCTTTAATAGGAACTAACTTTTTAATGTGTATCATAAATTATTCTTCTGCATGCTGGTGATGTAGGGTCAAAAGTGCTTTTCTCTCAATTTCTTTGCTAAAATAGTGAACCCAAGGATGTTTCAGTCCCATGAAAAAGATATTAGTCCTGTTTTCTTGCTTTGTAATACACTGAAAGGAAGCAGGAGTTACAATTCTCCAGCCACAGCTCAGAGGATTTCCTTTAAGTGTTCTAATTCCGGAGAAACATATTTTTTCCTGCTAAAATTGGATGACAAAAATAAGGAATTAGTTAAAATACCCATCTTGCTTTCTCCCCATTTGATTTGGTTTTGGTGGTATTTTTGCTGTGGTTTTCTGGTTTGCTGGTTTAGGGTGGGGGTTTTTTCTGTCTTCTTACTAGTCTTCCCAGAGAACAAAAAGGAAGAATGCATTAGGCATTTCCTGAACTGCTTTGGTAACTGAAGGAGCTTTGTATTTCCCAACACCAGTCAAGTTACTTTTGATTTTATCTATTAAAGCTGTAATATTTTTACAGGTTTTGGGGGATTACACAAGGCAATGAATTGATAGTTTGCCATCACTCTCTTTTAAGACTGTCAACCACTTACATTACTCACATGCACATAAAGAAATTGAAATAAAACAATCACTAGGAAGGGAAAATCTCACCTCAGATGTGAAAAGAAACCACTGAAAACTGTAACTGTAATATTAAGAGGTGACCTTTGTGTCTGTTTCTTCATTTCTGGAAATACAACTCATGTTTATGTTGTATGACTTTGTATTATTAAAACTGGTGCACATCTGTTGCATAACTAATCATCTGGAAAGACCAATTAAAAAGAGTAGCACAAAATGGTAGATTTAGTTTCTATCAGCAACGTAGCAAGGAAGTAGTAACTAATCATAGGTACATCTTAAAATTAAATTAGGGAGCAATTTAGTAGATTAAAGCTCAGTTCATCCTTATAGGCTGCAGTTTGATACAGTTTCTAGTTATTTTTTTTGCTAGTTTTCCAGTGGGTTTTCATTTTCACTTTTCATTAGGGAGCTCTCAGTCAAATTCCTTTCTCATTTGTACCATTGTAAATCTAAAATAAATCCTTTATATTTAATTGAATTGTTATTGATTTTCTTTAGCAAGCCTAAGAACAGAATATGACCCTTTTTCTTTAGCAGTAACCAAACTGTCCTTCTTAATTTTGAAACCACATTGAATCAAGCTTAGGTGGAAAAAAGTCTCCAAAGTTTGAATAGACTAAGTTTTCTTATTAGGAAAAACACCCATTAAAGAAAACAGTGTTCTACCTTCCTACTTTGTGGGAAGTTGTTTCATTGAAAGGCCTGGGATTTTAAATTACCTGCCAAACAGAATTTAACTCTGGATGCCTCAAAAGTAACCTGATCCTGCAACAGGAGAAAAAGGAAGTAGTTGCTTTTATATTGTATCTTTCCGATAATGATCACTGAGGAACATTTTGTGCTGTACCGGCAGACAGATGTGTGTCTGTTGGTAACAAGATTCACTGAGATTTCTTTAGTGACTGCTGCCCCACAGCACCACGAGTCCCAGCCGCACCTCACAGCTGTGGCTGTGCTGTGGTCACCAACACCACCTCTTAGCAGCATGAAATATCCTTAGTAATTGAAAGGCAATCCAAATGGGGTGCTATGAGGACAGAAAATTGAATGCAGTGTTTATTTTCAGAGGAAAGATCATGAAGTAAAATTTTTAGATTTTGAACTGTTGATGAAAATATAGGCTGCAACTTATTTTCACTGTTTCTCCTCTCATTTTCCTGCAATGTTTCTATATAGGTTGCTGTATTTTCTAGCTCTCCTTCCAAGCAGATTGTAACTGTTGTCAGTAAAAAAAAAAAATATGTATCAGCATATTTGGCAGATAAAATTTTCAATAAAGAGTAATCATTTTAGGACAGCTTTTCTGCTCACTTCTTTTCTGCTATGAAGGAGTTTCCCTATTCTTCCTGAAAGCTGTTCCCTTTGACATTAATCTCAGAGTGGTCACCCAAAGTCTGAGCCTTACTGGACATTAATCAGTTCGAAAATACAGATTGTTTAAAGCACTTCTTCTTCCTAGAGACATCATAATAATACAGGAATTGTTTTATCTGCCCTAGAAAATAATTGTTTCTTTTGTCTTTTAGCTGTCTTTAAGGCAGTCATCAAAGATCCTAATGAAAATTGATTAGGACTCCTTAAGACTTTTGCACCCAAAGTTCTTAAGACTTTCAATTAAAAGTCTATGTGAATAACCAAAGTAAACAATCAAAGCTTCTATGTGAACAATCAAAGTAAACTACTCAAGTAGATATTATGGCACTTGAAACAGAAAGTCATTATTTTGACAGTTCTGCATAAACATGCCAGAATTTTGTCCTAAATAATTTTAAAATTACAGTCTCTGTCGTCTCAACTACACATTCTTCCATAGCGTAGAGTATGTTAGCAAATTCCTATGCAGAACTAAGAAGGAAGAGCATTGGACAGATCCTTTAGGGGGTAGTGGATCAGCAGTTCTTTATGTGACAAATCCAATAATCAAGTGGTTTAGACAGGAGCTATTTCATCCTCTTCACTGCTAAGAGTAGTGGTAATTATTTATGTCTTTAAGAACAGCCATCACTCACAGATTTAGAAAGAGAGATTAATTCCTCTGACTTCTGCTGCTGCTGAACTGTGCTTCTCTATTACTGTAACAACTACATGGAGTGGGTTTTAGTGTGAGAGATCAAAATTGTAGGACATTTTTAAATTTTTTTTAATTGTTTATTGTTGTACCCTTCATATTCTGAAAGTTTATTTTGTTGTTGCTGTTACAGCGACGTCCAAGCAGATGGCCAGCAATGAAATTCAGAAGAGGATCTGGACATCCTGCCTATGCTGAAGTGGAACCAGTCGGAGAAAAAGAAGGGTTCATCGTATCAGAGCAGTGCTAAAATTTCTGGGACAGAACACCAGTACTGGCCTACAGGTGTAAGACATTTACTTTGCCTCTCTTTAAAGAAAAGGAGCCCTAAGCTGCTGTAGCCTGATAGAAAGAAGATTTTGGATAAGCTTTGTCCAAGAAGAAAAACTATCTAAGATACCAGATTACTACTGCACAGTAGTTTTTGTTAGTGGACTGAGACACAATGGTTCATGCAGAACACTTGTCAGTGGACACCTACAGTATCAGAACTATGGCACAAGTGCCATATTATTGGCTTTAGGTGTGGGGATGCACAGTAATCAGAAGTATAATAAAGCTTTGGTGCACAAGAGTGTTGCCCTTTGGTTTAAGTGTTCTCTGTTATCTCAAAGACTGAGGGACAAATCTGTACTGTTTCAGTGCAAAGGGCACTGAATAGTGTTCACAGGTGATTGAGGATAGTATCTCAATGCAGGTAAAGAAGAAAAAAGGAACTTACCAATATTTCTATAAGCAGATGTGAAATATACACACTTTTCAATTCTAGATTAACCTACCCACCTAATTGAGCGAGTCACAATGTAAATGCTTTCTCCAGGAGTAGTACGTTTCTTGTACATTGCTGACAACAGAGAATTTTCACGGTGGTGAAATTATTTCCTGGGAGTTCACAGTGAAGTTGGGCTGATTTTCAGTTTCAGTGTTCACTAAAAAATGAATTATCAGATTTGTTTTAAGGGATATCTTTCATTTCTCAGCAGGAGACTGAAGTAAAGGCAACAGATCCTTTTAGCTGCCAGAGAGCTTATGGACCATTTCTTAGGCAATGTGATATGAAAAAATAAGATTTAAAATAAATGGGTTTCTATCCTTTGCCATTTCATTGTGAGTCATTACTGAGAAGCACCACAGACTTCAATGCACCCCTTTCAGAGATTCAGATACAAGTGTTATTGAACCCTGCTGATTCATACAGTGGTTTTGTTTAATGCACATAGTAGTTGCATAAATATATATATAAATATATTTTTTTTTATAGCTAACACAAGGCGGGTTCTTGTGACTGTTAAGACTGCATTTTTGTCATCCAGACAAAGGAAATGGATTGCATTACTGCATATTTCCACTGAGTTGTAAAATAATCCTTAATATTAGAATATTTTTATGTTGTGTAGGGAAGGTGGTTCATGTAGTTGCAGTGCCATAAACTTTCTGCCTATTGGAACCATTCTTTCTTTAATATCGACCCTTTCCCTCCCTGTATAGGGAAAGACAAGACTATAAATTCACACCATCAAAACCAGTTACTCCTTTCATGGAAGGGGTTAATATACACCAAGACCCAGAGCTTCCATGCGGAGTGGCAACCTAAATACTTTGATGATCTGGGCCTGGGCCACTAAACTATAAAATTCAGGTATTGTATGTATATTTCATGGCAGTGATTGACTACCAAATTTTTTACATACTGTGCAAGGCACTTGAATGATTTTAAAGTGAGGTATGCAACATTTGTGGGTTTTGTTCTCGAGCAGTTTAAAAAAGTTGTAGTTATCACCTTAACAGTACATTATTTACATTTCTTGTTGATGCTTGTATGGCCTAAATTTGATTACTTAATGATGTTTAAAAACAAACAAAAAAAAAGAGTCACAATTTTTACTTGTTTTTTTGTTTAGTAAATACTACAATACTATATTTTCTGTATTCTTTTATTTTGGGTAACACACTTCTATTTTCATCTGGTTTAAATCATCTAGCATGAGATTGAAACTGTTCAAAACCTAACTGGTATTAATCTGAAGGTACTAACAAACACATTGTCTTGAAGCCTGGTGTAAAGCCAGTGGCAAGTATTCATTTCAATTTGTGTGGGTCTGCTGAGCCCTGTTTCTAATAAGATGGGGTTAAATTGCAAGCTGTTAATTCTGATAGCAATAACCAAATGTATGCACATATATATGGTGACACATTTTTTATTAAATAAAAAGGTATCAGTGCACATCATTTAGGTACGTATTTGGTGTGCAATAATTATCATTAGTTTTTTTAGGAATGTTGGAGGTCATCAGCTAGGGTTCATTGGTCAAATGAAGCAACTGTAAAGCTTCTGGAATCCTATTTGGAAAAAAATTTATTTCAGAGCACATCTTGGCAAAATATACTAAGAAATTTACAAAAATCTACATAGAATTGCAATATATTCAAGGGACTTTTCATATAAGTAAGGAAGATTTATATTATTATGTGTTTACAGATCTGCAGTTCATCTGATTCACTCATATTTTTACCCATGTATGTAATACATGTCATGCAATAGAACTGGCAGAATATTTGTAACATGATTCGACAAATGCAACAACACTTTTAAAATCTGGTATTTTTATTAATTTTGTTTTAAGGCGCTCTTGCACACCTGAAGGATGTTTGTTAGTATTTGCAAACCAACTTATATATCATACTCCTTCATAAAATAATAGCAATTATTTTTTTCACTTTTTGTTCAGCTCACATTATTTGGTGGCAGATTTCACTGGTCTATGGGAAGCATCATAGTATACTTCTTTAGATTTTTGCCATGATGTTATATGCTATGGATTATAACATGAGGAGTTGCTGGGTTTATTGAATAAGACCGATAGGCATATGCTTACATCTGATGAGAACTGCTATCTGAAGAGAAAAACTCCTGCATACTAATGGGTGTATAGTGTCTCATTGGTGTCTGCTTTGATATATTCTGTGGTATGTTTTATTTATCCCAGTAGGCAAAAGTTAATTAAGTAATCTGTTGATGTTTTGTAATTCCATCTGGTTTTCTAATTTTTTAATTATTAAAATTGCCACATTAAAAATTATACAAACATTAATCTAGAGGTGTGATAAAATATTGAAATTAATTGAGAATCCTATTCTTGTATTTTTATAAAGCACCAGGTTAATTGATACAGACCAAAAAAGTGTTGCATAACCCTCTATCAGAAATCCAACTGAAATGTTATTCAACAATTCATAAAGAAATTTACATCCAAGTGTCTGAAACAGTGGCTTCACTAGCATTCCCACTGGTCCTTCATTTGAAACTAACTCAGAATATTTCATTTGTTTAAATGCTTGCTTATAGAGTCATTTATCCTAACAGTTACTTTAACTCTTAAACTTTCCTGTAAATTTATGTATCTAATGCTTGTAATTATTTCAAGATCTCCCCAAATTATTTCTTATTATTTTCCATTTAAGTGTCAAATGTTCCATAACACCTAACACTCTTATGCTTCAGCTCATCCTGTTTCAACAGAAATTGTTGGAAAAAAGACCCTAACATTTGCAAAATTGTATTCAGATGTTAAAAATTCTGGAACTGCTGAAGAAGTAGAATTGTAATTTCACTCCCATGTGCATACATATAATGATGCCATCTTATTTAATTGCCCACCATTTCTCAGCATGTCCTATGACGTATTGGAGAAAGAGAACAGAGATTGTTCATAACAAGCAGCTATTCCATATTTTTCTCCTCCTTGCTCGAGTTTTATTGCACTTTGTTACATATCATCCAAACCCTGCTCAGAAGACTTCTTTTTTTTCATGGTCTTTTCTTCTTTACCCATCAACATTATTATACTCAAGGGATGCATACACCTTGTTTTATTTCTGTTCTGAGCATTCCTGTGAAGGGAGTCAATTTTCCAGAGAACACCAGTGTGATACAGTTCTTTCTTTTCATATAATTGCTTTTCTCATTCTCTACAGCTTCTGCTACAAATGACATAGATATCTTGTAAGTATAAACCTACTTCAGTGCACCATTAGAAGTTACCTTCAGATCAAGTCCATTTTTACAAATAGTGTGTGTGCTGGAATTCTGGGGGAAAAGAAAATACATCACTGTATTTTAAAAATTATGGAAGCCAAGCTGAACAGAATATTTGACTTTGCAAACTTCACCATTTTTCCGTGGTCAACAGAGCTCAAATTCTAAAAAACTCATTACACTAGTGTCTGAGACAGCTGAGTAGTTGAAGCACTAGTTTGCCATCCAACTGTGGAAGCAATGGAAAAGGAAGTGATGATCCCGTTTGCCAGTGAGCAGGGAAGAGATTTTCTTTACAGAAGAGTAAGAAGTCTTCCAAGGGAAACATGAGAATATTTCTATATTCTCTTAGATAACCTCTTGAATAAGAATTGCAACATCCATTATTTTATTTGTAGAGAATCTCTAAATAAGATTCTACAAGCATTTGTCAGGAGCTGGCAGTTTTTCACAAAGTGGGTGGGTGAATAGAGCATTCAGTACCTTATGTTGGATCATGTTCCAGCTCATCATCAAAGGGAAATTTCATTTTGGGTGCATACAGTGGAGAAAGCAATGGCTACGTTATTATTTTCGGACACTAGCAATGAAACTTTGTATAAAAGATTAGGCATTCACCTAGAAGATATCTCAGCTGCAGAAAATCATAGTGCCTATGACCACAGTATTAGCCATTAGGAGAAGAACTGGAACACAGCACAAATTTGGCCTGGATCAACAGTTTTGCTTTCAGGGAATTTATTGCTTCCAGTGATGAGAAAGAATAGCAGCAAGCACTGTTGTCCACAGTAAGATCATTGGAATTCTTACACATGTGCCTCTGCCTTCTTGCAGAGAAATGCTTGAAGCTTGAAGCCTAAAAAAACTCCAGAATTAAATGTTACTGACCAACAATGCAGCATTAACCTTAATTTTCACTTTTTAGACAGAGATTTCAGGAGCTGACACCTGCTACTACTTTTCATTATGGATGTAATGCTAAGTTGGGTTTGAGTGTTGGATTTTTTGGAGAAGGAGAAGGGGAAGGGAAAAATGCAGAAGTGAAGGGAAGGGTGTCGATATTCCCAGATGCTCTAGAGGTACAGCAAGAAACCTTATGTACAGCCTTGAGAGCATTGATACTGTGTGCCAGAGGCACTGAATGAGAACACATGAAGTCTTCCTTCATGTCCATCTCCATCATTTAAAAATCAGAAGTATCATCAGAACCACTGACTTCTGTCTAAATCTACAGGAGTCCATATTTTACCTCATGGATGGTTTGTGTCACTCGTCAGGGAAAAGAAGCTTGAACCACAGGTAGCATTTTGAGGTGGAACAGTGTGCTAGTAGTGTTTTAACAGAAGTCAAATATGGCAAAGCAGGATGCAGCTTGCATGGAACTGAAAGGAACAAATGAGTTTAATTTTATCCAGAGCAGCCAATATCCCTGCTGTTGGAGAACTCATAAAATATTCAAGTCTGTGGACTGAATGGCCTTGATTTAAACAATATCATAAATCTAAAGCTGTCCTTTAACTATCAGTTTATTGTCAAAACCTAGGAGATTTTCTTGACTTCTTAATTTTTTATGGAGAAAAAAACATTTGAGGATGCCAAGTAGAATAAAGTATCCACCTGACAAGGCAAAGAGTCTTATCTCCCGACACAGTTCTTTCCCAGCCAGAATGGTTGCTCTCCTGTGCACAGCTCTTTTTAGTGGGTCTCATGCTGACTCCACAGTCTTTCTCAGGACATTTCATGCATTTCAACGCAATTCTCTCTCTTGTGAGATTTTTCAATACCTATCTCCTGCCTCACTTTTTGATTCTTCAGTTCTTCACCTCTGACCTAACTCTACATTTTCACTACTTTGTTTTTTTGCACTCCTCTAAACCCTGAATGATGTGTCAACATGACCACTTTCAGTGTCACTCAAAACAAGCCTCAATCTGAAAAACACTCCCCTTGATTTTTCCTCTGTATGTGGGTTCTTGTCCACAGAACTATCTGAAGGTAGATTTTCCTATTATTGACTGAATTCTGTCCCCATGAGTCAGCAAGCTAAATGCTGAGTCTGTTGGAAACTTTTTGTTTAGACATTTTGGTCAAACAAACTACTGGTTTCTTCAGAGGAAAAGTTGTCCCAGATAATTTTTTTAAAGCAGCAAAAGGACTTTAGAAGACAGACCTCAAGACATTACTCTTAATTACATCCATTTAACTAAGCAGATAATTTTACTCAATTAATTAATATAGATGCCTGTTGTCTCTGTAGTCTCTTTGGGAAGATAGTGTTCAGGGATGTTAATTAAACTCTTCCCATGCAGTTTGCATTATTTCCTTTGGCATAGCTCTCACTTGAAAAACAAAAAGTGCTATTAATTGCTAATGTTAGCTTGAAAGAAATTTCGTTTATTGACTGTTTGGATGGCACAATGTTTCCTCAGACATTTAGAAGCTATTAGTAAAAAATATCACTTTTGGCTGTCCAGCTTGTTTGGACTGCTGGTTTTATTACTAGATCCTTTTTTTTTTTTTCAATAACAGTTTTAAATTTTTTTGGGGGAGGTACCAACAAATACTGTAATCTGATTTTCACATTTGAGTACACATCAGCCATGGCGTCCTTTATCTAAGCTTTTCACCTTAAAACTTTCCAGCTCTGCCTTGCCTATGAGGACATCAGGATTGCATCACAACTACACACCCCTGTTTTAGTGACAAGATGAAGCTTTCCAAAACAAAATGGTGTGCCTTTTGTAGATATGTGGGCATTTTCACAATGGCCTGTTTCCAGAAGGAATCCTCTTCCTAGAGAGATGAGTCTGGCAGTGTAGGTTACAGAGTGTGACTGAAAATAACTAACTCTGTAAAACATAAGCCATGCATAGCTGTGCTATCACTGGATGAAATCACCTCCAACACTCTCTGGCTCCCAGCCTGGCGTCTCACCCAGGCCACAAAGGGCTCCAGCAAGGGCTGTGGGAAGGATGTGGACAGAATGAGGGCAGGGCAGGGGATGCTTGAAGGACTGCAGGTGCCATTCCTGCTTGGAAAGCAAAGAGGCAGTGGGCACCTCGCTAAGGCTTACATGCTCCAGAAAAAGGGGGTGACTTTGTGGCAGCCTCTGCCTTAATGCTGAGCATGAGCAAAGGATCTCCTCAGCAGCCCCCCCGGGGCATTGCTGCGGAGTTAGCATGGCCTTTGCTCTGCTCATGACAGCCCCCTGCAGCCATGCACACACACGCTTGCACCCTCTCACACTCCTTCCAGTTGCTGTCAACCATGCATTTTGCATTTCAAGTATTTTCTCAGAGCAAGAGCACTCTGTTACCAGAAAAGATGACACAAGTCATTTCACTCTGTATCTCTGCAGCACCACTGTGCTTTCTGAGAGGGTTGCCTGACAGATCTCCCAGTACTCTGTACTACTCCTCCAAAGTGTGGGTGAGCATATCATTGAAAGGTGACAAGTGCTCAGGGGTTGTCTTGGCCTGCAGATTTATGCCTGGAGGCAACCATGCATGACGGGGAACTTGGAGAGAGATTACAATCTATTAGATAAGATCAGACATCCAAAAATTTAGCTAAGCATGTAAATTTTCTTGTAATTTTTCCTGAAGTGACTTTGGTATGTAAATATGCTTGACACAGATGACCAGCATTGGCTGAGTTATCCTACACGGCAGTGACTTTAAGGGATAGAACAATGAGGGGCTCGTGACATATCTTTAGCAGTTGCCAAGAGCAATGTTCACGGTGCAGGGCTTGGAAACTGCTTCCACCTACATTTAGTGATAATGGAGATGTCTGACCCCTCTTAGGGACTAAGCTTAGCAGTTTGATCATTCGACCATGAGGTTATAGATGCAGTGCTTGGTTGGAGAGGCATGTGAAGTCTTGTTATCCAGGAGAGACCCCAAATGGTGGTATACACATTAAGCTTCCTCAAACCCTTTTTTAGAAGCTGTCCATGACTCTGGTGCAGAAAAGATGCAAGATTCTGTGGCCCCAAAGGAGTGAGTGACCAGAGCATGGGATTAGTCAGTGCCCAACTAAAGGTCTCTGTTAAGG